TTACTCTTTAAGGTTTTTATAAAAAGAGGGTTTTAAAACCCTCGGTTTAGCGTTTTCTCTTTACTCTTTAAGGTTTTTATAGAAAGAGGGTTTTATAAAGACCCTCGGTTTAGGGTTTTCTGTTTATTGTTGTCTTTAAGGTTTTCTTATAAAAAGAGGGTTTTTACAAAAACCTTCGGTTTAGGGTTTACTGTTTACTGTTGTCTTTATTGCAATGCTTCTGGACATCTGCTTGCGGCTGGGGAGAGCCAGGCTGGAGCTAGCATTCGTCTGCTCTGCTTTATAATCCTTAACCCCGGCCGAACATACTCTGAGCGTTCAGTCCCAAATCAAAGCCCACTTGTGTGTGGATTAGTTCAAGCGAACAAGCACTCCTAGAATCAACGGCTTTCTGAAAGCCTTTGGAGAAGTATGTCAGTGTGCGTGTATGTATCCATAGGCACAGATATGCTATCATATGCTTTACCTTACTCCCTTAGGTTCATCTACAAGTTGTTATATGAACACCTGTATGTGCATTGTTCAGGCTTTTCCGATGCAACTCACATGCCCGTAGACAGACACTGTGTATGCAGCATAAACGCAAGACCCGAGGAAAACCAAGCCTGCCTGTCGTCCTGACCCCACACCCTCGAAACCCTAAACCCTAAACCCTAAACCCTAAACCCTAAACCCTTAAACCCTAAACCCTAAACCCAAAGCCCCAAATCTAAAGCCGGACAACCCTGAACTCCCAACACTCGAAAACGATCTCTTACGGGATAGAGGTAGCCTCTCCTTTGCCACGAATTATTCCCCCAGGCAAACCCTCAGCCTAAATCCCCAAACCCCAAAACCCCTAAACCCTAAACCCTAAACCCTAAAACCTAAACCCAACCCCTCAACCACTAAACCTTTAACTTGCCCCCCAACCCACCAGAAAGTTCCCACACCCATGAGCCTTAGAAGCATCCGTGCCAGTCTTCGGCCTTGTTTGCGACTACGCTCACCCCGGAAGAGTTGAAGGAAGAACAGGCACCCAGACGAAGTTGGAAATTTACGTGAATTACATAACAGGATCCCGACTATGATTTAAGGTATAATCCTTTTTTGGAAGGTCTGGGGGGTGGGGAAGGGTTGCAGGATATGGGGGCTTAGGGTCTAGATTGTGTCGGGTTTAGGGTTCAGAACTTAAAACCTAGGGCTTAAGTTGCGGGATCCAGGGTTCAGGGCCAAAGTTTAGAGATCTATAAGGTTTAGAATCTAATGGGGTCAGGGGTTTAGGGTGTGGAATGTAGTCTTTAGGCTCACGGTTGAGGGATTTATCGTCAAAAAATTAGGGGGTTCAGGGAAGTTCAGGGTTTATTATTTTCGGCAGGGTCCTTTCAGGGTTCTTAAGGGTTTCGGGCTTTGGGAGTCTAAAGTTTTCAGAGTTTTTGATGTGTGCCTATAGTCTCCATTGTAGTTCCTTTTTGGGCGCTACCTTTTAGGATCCTTAACATAGACTTGGTTAGACCAAAAAAAGGAACAACAATGGAGAGACTATAGGTAGGCTTCAGGTTTTGGGGGTTCGGGTTTCGGTTTGTTGGATTTCCAGGGTTGTACGGGGCTTCATAGGTTTTGAAATCCTAAGCCCAGAAGCCCTAAACCCCTAAACCCCTAAACCCTAAACCCCTAAACCCTAAGCCTAAACCCTAAACCCCTAAACCCCTAAACCCCTAAACCTGAAACCTTAAACCCTAAACCCTAAACCCTAAACCCTAAACCCTAAACCCCTAAACCCCTAAACCCTAAACCCTAGTTCTATTTTGACTTCGGGCTGGGGGCCTCTGGAACTGATGCTCTGGAGGAGTGTGCTTTGCCATGCAAGCAGGCGCACACATATGTATGGCTTTTGTGGTTTAGGGTTTAGGGGTTTAGGGTTTAGTATGTTTATGTGCAGGTTTTAGTGGTTTAGAGTTGCCGGTTGGTGCTCAGGCTTCGATATATTCAATAAACCAATATATAAGAAACACATCATACAAAAACACGCATATCACGCTTATTAACAATTTAAGCTGTATTTGCGAAGCGACATATATACTAATTAGTCCGTGCCACGCAAAGAAATGTGGTTTACCGAGAAGGCGGGCGCAGTGGTCCGAGCAGTGTTACAACAAGAAGTTCCCAGACCTTCCAAAACCCGTTACTTTAAGAACATACTTTACCCTAACCCCCGCCGTTCACACCGCTGCCCTCTTGAAACAGTGTCTCAGCACCTTTTGCAGACCATGTGGACAATGCTGTCGCCGCGTCGCCTCCTTCACATGATTTGAACTTAACGAAACTTCGTCCTCACCATTGCCCTGAAGCCTGGAGCGCCATGCATGGACATCGGTAACTCCGATAACGGCGAACTCCACATCGACCCCCAAACTATGTCTCGTTAATTGATCTTCCAGGCCGCTACATTTCACCGAACCCCGATCTTGCATTGCAAAAGCCCATAAGGAATATACCTTAATTGACTTGAACTAGATAATGGATCTTACTGTAAATTAACCCTAACCACCCAGGTACCTACTATAAAGGGTACTAGAGCCCATCGAAGGCATTTCTGGGAGGGATGGACACCATCCTCTGCAACGACGTGCAGGACGCCATCGCCCCAAGCTGGCCGCCCGCTGGACAGACCCGGGCTCGCGCGGCAATTGCTTCAAAAAGCCACCCGCAGGAGCAATCCGAGGATCTGCTCCTCATCAGCAGCGGCTCCACTCAGCAGTGCTGTTCCTGGCATTTCCATCTGCGAGGATGGAGCCGCAGTGCCGGGAGGTCCAGCACAGGAGCAAAAAGAAAAGGGAAATCCAAACTGCAACAAAGGAAGCAAGATTGGCGTCCTTCAGACCCAGTAGTGCATGTACGTACATCTACGTAGAGCAGCAAACGGGGGAGCGTGAGAGGATGGGTTGCATGCATTTGAGTGATCTCAATAAAATGTCTGAACTCTCAAGCCGAATCTAGAAGCCTAAATAATTAGCTATAAAGGAGCCCGAAACCCTATTCTAATTACTAGTACGGCCACTACATTACACCCTAAACCCTCAACCCCACGAGCCCAAATCCTGAAACCCTAAGCCCCACGGCCCTAGCGATACCTCCAGAACCCCAACCCTGAAGCAGGCAATCCCACAGGGTCCTATGTACCGTTATGGGGGATACTTCCCTAGATCAAAATAGTAAACTCCTAATATAGAAACCCTACAGTCTGCTATATCGATACTTTGGACCGGTTGGGAATTGAATCCCAAAGCCTGAAAGGCTTAAACCCCAAAACCCTACATCTTTACACCTCTCAACCCTCAACCCTTGAACAAGACCCTTTTTACAAGCCTCTGGACTCCTAAGCCCCAGGTTGGAGGGTTTCAACGATTAACCCTAAAACCTAAACCCTAAAACTCTAAATTCTACCAACCGGAACCCTAAACCCCTAAACCCTAAGCCCTAAAACCTAAACACTAAACCCCTAAGCCCTAAACCGTGCGGCTGACTGACAGGATTGGAAGCAAGCAAACTTGGAGCGTACACAGAAGGAAGAGCAGGCGCCTGGCAGCCGGGCTTTTCGGGTTTAGGTCTTAGGGTTTAATCCCTAAACCCTAAACCCTAAACCGTGTATAGGGTTGAAAGGTTCAAGGTTTAGGGCTTAAGGTGTATAGGGTTGAAGGTCCAGGGTGTTGGGTTGAAGGCTTAGGGTTTTGTAATGCTTAGGGTGTTTAGGGTTTAGGGTTTTTAGGTTTAGGGTTTAGGGTTTTTTAGGTTTAGTGTTTAGGGTTCTTAGGTTTAGGGTTTAGGGTTTTTAGGTTTCGCGTTTAGGGTTTTTAGGTTTAGCGTTCAGGGTCCAGGTGGGTATATTCAGAGCAGTCGGCTCTTGGGTTGCTTCAAGCGTCTGATAATGCAGGGGCCTAAATAAATACCTCTACTGTTTTTTTTTTTGGGGGGGGGTTCCTTATTCTAATTATAGTACAATATACCCCCAAAACCTTATTCGAATTAACAAGGCCCCTACATTACGGTTTCCCTGCAGAAGGCATATACGATGTGCAAAGATCGTGTAAGGGGGGTTCGACATGGGTCTCTCGACGGTTTATGGGATTTCGGGTTTAGGGGTCAAGTTTAGGGTTTGGAGTTTCGTGTTCTATAAAGGTTCAGATAACGGTTGCTTTGAATTAGGGGCTCTGCAGATTTCGAGGAGTAGTGATTCTGGGGGTTGTGTTTCGGATTTAGGGGTTTAAAGTGCTGTAGCTTGGAGTTTTGGCTTCGGGCTTTCAGCGTTTAGCGAAGTGCCACCAAGTCAAGCTGCCAATGGTTTAGGGTTCCGAGTTTAGGGTTTAGGCACAGCATCAGTTCTTGTTAATTTGTTCCGTGTCTAAAACAGAGGCCATAATAATTAGAAAAGGGTTTGCGGATATATTATACTATATAAGTATATCAAGGAGCCCACAAAAACCTATTCTAATTATTAAGGCCCCGACATTAAGGGTGTACCCTAAACCCTAAGCCCTAAACCCTAAACCCTAAGCCCTAATCCCTAAATGTAGGGTGATTATTGGGGCCCAAGGTTTCAGGATCTAGAGTCTCGGATTAGGATCGACAAAGGGGTCTGACGGTCTGAACGCATACTTCGAGTGTCCTCTTACAGTATAATCTACCCCAGAAGCCTATTCTGGTTTAGGGTTTTGGGTTTAGGGTTTAGGGTGGTAATGCTTACTTCGGGAGTCCTCATACAGTATAATAGGCCCCAGAAGCCTATATTCTGGTAATTGATGCTCCAAAGATCATCACGATGCCTCTTGTTGCTGCTGCTGTGCCGAAGGGTACTACACCAAAGCCACCGCCACCGGCAAATATTCTACGACGGCTTCCTCTTCGAGCTCGAGTTATACTGATGGTAAGTCGCCCCGGGTTTAGGGTTTAGGGTTTAGGGTTTAGGGGCGACTTCTGCTGTTGCCCCGATGCCTTGAGGAAGCGCTCCAGCTTCAACAGATCCATTTCGAGCCCGCACGCGTCAGCGTTCAGGGTTCCTCAATCCTGAACCCAAGAACTTGAAAGCCCCGAAACCCCCAACTTCAACAGTCTCGGCCCTGAACTTTATACACTACTTGGAGGTTCATGGGTAGTTATAAGTAGGGTTATAAGGTAACTATGCTTATAACCTATATTGGGGGGGAACTTGTAATTCCATAACTACCCATGAACCTCCAAAACCCTAAACCCTAAACCCTAAACCCTAATGCATTCAGGCAAAGAAGGAAGCAGAAGTGGAGCGCAAGCAGAGAGAGGCGCGAAGCAGAGTGCCGGGAAAACGGAGCATCTGCCAACATCCTCGGGAACCTAACTAGACTACACTGCTTATACATACTGTACTATCCTGTCCTATCCTATCCTAGACTAGTATACTGGTAGGTAATGGAGCCACGTTGCATGAAAGCGTCCAGGATCTTAGGCGGGGCTTGGGAGTTTAGGGTTCAGGGTTTAGGGGGGACGTGCCCTAAACCCTGAAGCCCCAAACCGTAAACTCTAGCACCTTCCAGGCCGGAATCCCTCGTTCAACGGGATTCCGGAACGGTTTAGGGTTCAGGGTTTGGGGGTTTAGGGGTTTAGGGGTTTAGGGTTTGGGGGTTTCGGGTTTAGGGTCAGAGTAATTCAGCTCAAGGATCGTTTCTGAGCGGTCACAGGCGTACAAGCATGTCAAGGTGATGTGTTTGGCAATCGGATGATACTTAACAATGCCCTAAACCCAAAGCCCTAAAGTATGATAATTCGGAATACTGAGTTCAGGGGTACGGGATTCGACTGCATGAAGGCTTTCCTGGAGTATCCAGAACCTTTGAGGAGCGGGCTAGAAAGAGCTGGAGGGGTTGTAGGGTGACATAGGGGCCTTAAATAATTAGAATAGGGTTTTGGGGCCCATTATACTATAATCATAAGAAGGAACCCCTCCAAAATAGTACAGGTGCTTATTTCGGCTTCTATATTAGGGTAAGAACCCTCATCTTCCTCGTCGGCAACCGGACGTCGTCTAAGCCTTAAACCCCTAAACCCTAAACCCCTAAACCCTAAACCCTAAACCCTACTGATCAATCCAAGAACTCGCTCAGATTCGCGAAGAGGGGCCGCAAGAAGCATCTCGACAGTTATACATGAGCACAAGATGGTCATCTTTGGCAGTGTGATGATAGAGAAGCCTTAGAAATACAAACCGTATTCTTTTGGACCCATATTGAGTTATTTAATATGGTTCTAATATGGTTATACTGCGAACAAAGGAGCCCAAAACCCTAAGCTAATCATTGAGGCCCCGAAATTACCCGAAAGGGGCGGACCATACTTCGCTGCACAGCTGAGCCCAGTGGCCTTACAGCTGTGAGTGCCCAGGGCGCTGCCATTCTCATGAGAGAGTCTTCTGGATTGCAAGACTCCTCTTAGACATCCCACTGCCGCACTAGCGGACGGAGGCACTGTAGCCCAACCACTGACGAAACGAGCAAACGAATGCCCTCGACACATAGTGGAACCAATGAAACTACGCCTAAACCCTGACCCTGAGGGTCCATGTAGCCAATTGTACATACTTTAGATTACTTCGGCCTTCAAGTAGTCCTACATAGGTACTTGCGGGCCAAAGTATGTACTGTGAGGGCATATGTACCCATCAACTTGAAAAACCCGGTCAACTTCACAGCGTTTTTCGGGACGATGTGGAGGCATTCCGGTCAACAGTCCGTGTGCCTCCTAGGGGAACTAAAGGGATTTCTAGTACCCCAAAAGGCTAACAGTTACCTCAACCGTATACCGTTAAGCCTTCCCAGATTCTGAGCCCTCAGACTGGAAATGCTCCCTACTTAAGCCTGCCTCCTACTTTAACGCCCTCCTGTTGAACCCCAACGCGCTGCCCTAAGAGACGGATGCCCTTGACTTGAGGACAACAGTGATGGACACTACCTAGACCACCCTCCATCTAGCTTCTATTAGACCCCAAATACCCATGATTTGGGACCATGTACCCCAATTTGAAGGCGCAAGGAGGGTCCTGGTACATGGTCATTTGGCGTCACGGCCCAAGTCCTCTTATACGTCCCAACCCCCAACAAACCCTAAACCCGAAAGCCGCACTTCCCTTCGGCCCTAACGTAAACCCTACATGGGGCCCATAAGAACTATTGGGCTACACCCTAAACCCTAAACCCGCATGGACTTTTCTGGTGCAGCTGGAAAAAGGGCACGGTTAAAAAAAACAAAAAAACCCTTAACCCTTCCTAAACCATACCACTTTTCCGAGTCTCTCTGTATGAGGAGGAGAAGCAGAAATCGGCCGAAGAGCAAAAGCAACTTCGCATGGAGCGCAGCTGGGCCGCATTAGAGTTGAGGGTTTAACGTTGAGTCAGGGGTTAGGTTTTTTTTTCCGGGGCCCTGAAGCCCTAAACCCGAAACCCTAAACCCTAAAACCCTAACATCCCAAAGTTTTCAGGGGGTTTTGGGTTCGAAGGTTCAGGCCCAGGTGAAGCGAAACAGACCACGAAGCCTATGCGCTCTAGAGGTTAAGGTTTTAGGGTTTAGGGCCCCGGGGTAGTTCCATGCCTCACAACCCCAAACCCTAAACCCTAAACCCTAAACCCTAAACCCTAAACCCTAAACCCTAAACCCCAAACCCTAAACCCTAAACCCTAAACCCTAAACCCTAAACCCTAACCCCACCCATCTCCCCTGCCCCCGCCAATGCTTGAACCCAACTGAAGGCGAAGAGGCGAAGAAGAAAGCCGACGCTGAGAAACAGCGTCAGAGAGAGGCCATGCTGTTTTTTGATTTACAGTTTATGGGGCTTAGGGTTGAGGGTTTAGGGTTTACGGTTTATGGGGCTTAGGGTTGAGGGTTTAGGGTTTAGGGTTTAGGGTTTAGTTTAGGGTTTTCTATTTACGGTCTGAAACAGAGAGAGGCCATGATGTTTTTTGCTTTACAGTCCCAAAGGCTCCATGTACCCATATAGTTTACACTTAGGCCTCAAAGGGGTTCCTATATAGGTACTTTAAGGCCTATGTATATACTATATGGGTACATGGAGCCTTAGGGAGTTTGGGATTTAGGGTTTAGGGTTAAGGGTTTCTATTTACGGTTTGGAAAGAATCAGTGCCGTCAAAAGGAGCCTACAAAGGAACCCGAGAGCTAACTCAGTAGTCCGCTGCAGTTCGCAATACTGCTGATGTTATAAATCCTGCATTACCTTCTAAGGACCCTGTTTAGGGTTTAGGGTTTAGGGTTTAGGGTTTAGGGCCCTATACTATGGGAAGTATGGTATATTCCTTTTTATGGGTAGTGCAGGATGTATATCATCAACCGTAGTTGGAAGCATGTGGCTTTGGCAGGGGCTACGGGCCAGACCCACAACATCTGCTTTTCCGAAGGAACTGTGCAAAGAAATCATAAGCTGGCGTGCTGAGGAAGTAGGTGTTGGGGCTCTAGGTAGGCTCTAGGTCACCAACTGACCTACATTACACCCTACCGGACCCTGACCCATGAACCATGTTATCAAAAAACCAGGATTGTTCCACCTAGTTTTATGGTCAGCTTGCGCTAAAGACGTCCTTTCGACGGCTGGCCTGTTCGTGTTCAGGTGAGCCTGAGGCTGGGAGGCTGAGCCTACGAATCGTAAGCAAAGCCTATAAGACCTAAAACCCTTAAGCAACCTTAAAAGATTCAGTGTCTATTCATGTCTACTTCGATTAAACCTCAAAAGACGACGGCCTTCAACAAAAAGCTATCAATTAAACTCTCACCCTCCACATCCCTAACCGCCTGAACCCTAAACCCCACCACCGACCCCGAACCCCAAAGCACCTGGACCCTACACCGGCGAAGCTTAAAACCCTTAAACCATTAAATGAACCGAAATTCTCATTCCTAACCCTTAACACCCTATAGTCCTAAACCCTAAATGGCCCTAAACCCAAATTCCGACGTCCTAAATGGCCGTAAACTCTAGTTCCTAAGCCCTAAATCACACTAAACTCTGGTCTCAGCCCTGAATGGCCCTAAAACCTAGTTCCTAAGCCTTGAATGGCCCTAAACCCCAAGTCCGAAGTCCCTGCAGGAGCCAAGGCGCCCTAAACCCTAAACCCTAAGCACTAAACCCTAAACCCCAAACCGTAAACCCTAAATATACCCTAAACCCTTAACCCTAAATCCTAAGCCCTAAACCCTAAACCCTAAACCAACCAACCAACCCTAAACCCTATTTCCAAAGTCCTGGCAGGAAGAGAGGCGCTTGAAGGAAGAGGCGAAGCAGAAGGCCCAGGCTTCGAAGCGGACGACGTTTTTTTTTGTTTTTTGTTGTGGATGTTTTTTGTTTTTGTTTTTTTTTGTGCATGTTTTGGGTTTGTTTTTGATGTTTTGGGTTTTTTTGTTGGGGATGTGGGTGGTTTTAGGGGCTTAGGGGCGTAGGGGCTTTCGGGGTTTTCGGGTTTAGGGTTTGGGGTTTAGGTGTTTAGGGGTTTAGGGCTGTAGGGGTTTATTATAAGGTTTAGGGTTGTAGGGGTTCAGAGTGCTTATACTTCGGCCGTAAAGTGGGCTCTCTCTCTCTCTCTCTATATATATATACTATTTGGGGTACATGGTCTCTTAGGGAACCATCACGGCCTAAGCATATTCAGTATGCAGACGCTCCAACATCTTTCTCAAACGAGGGGTCCTGCACTAGGAACCCCGGCAGAGCTTTTTGAACATCTGGGCTTTTGTCAAGGGTCCTCGTTTAAGTGAATGACCATAATACGGAAATCCTTGTGTTTACTAGTATTTACTATACGTTCTTGTTCTGATAGCTCAAAAAGTTACGTTCCTTAACAAGAACCCAAGCATGCGCCAAAGAACTTTGCAGTCTGTGGCAACTGCAGCCCTGGGTTTCTGGCAGTACTCACCATTTCTATTTCATGTTCTCCTTATCCTTATCAAAAAGGGTTTAGGGTTTAGGATTTAGGGTTTATGAGCAAGTGTACTCCTATGATTCGGGGACTGCTGGATATCCTGGCTGTGATATCTTAACGCCAAGCCCCACCGCGCGGCCCTCGGCCCAACACAGACAACGCCTTATTGAATTGACATGGTCTATGGAGTTATAGCAGCTAACACTCAACTTTGTGTGAGCCCTTTTATCTTTAGTCACACGCCTTGAACCCCAAACCCTAAATCCCTAAACCGTGGCTTAGACCCTTCCTCAAACGCCTGAAACCCTAAACCCTAAATCCCTAAACCGTGGCTTAGATCCTTCCTCAAACGCCTCTCAACCCTAAACCCAAAACCCCAAATTCTGGTTCAGGGGTTTAGGGGTTTAGGTTGTAGGGGTTTAGTGGATTGAAGGTTTGGGGTTTGGGGTTCAGGGGACGCCACCCTTATAAACAAGACCCGCCCTAGTTTAGACAACTACCCATATCTTCGAGCCCCAAGCCCTCCTAAACCCTCCACGAGGGCTCCACGTACATATTGTCCTAGCCCAACCCACGCCACCCTCAACCCTAACCCTTGACTCCTGATTAAAGCCAAAAGACCCCTAAACCCCTAAACCCAAAACCCCAAACCTTCAATCCACTAAACCCCCACAACCTAAACCCCAAAACCCCTGAACCCCAAACCCCAAACCTTCAATCCACTAAACCCCCACAACCTAAACCCCTAAACCCCTGAACCCAAACCCCAAACCTTCAATCCACTAAACCTCCACACCCTAAACCCCTAAACCCCTGAACCAGAATTAAAACCCAAAGACCCTGAGTCCTCTCAGCTGCGGGCCCTCATAGGGAACCTCAGAGGCCGAGAAACAGCGGCTGCAGGAAGAACGCAAGGCGCTCCAATGATCTAAGGCTTTCGTTGTGAAGGGTTTAGGGTTTGGGATTTAGGGGCTTTAGGGCTGTAGGGGTTTAGGTTTTTACGGGTTTAGGGTTTAGGGTTTAGGGGTTTGGGGTTTAGGTCTTTAGGGTTTGGGGTTTACCTGGACCCCGAAGAGCCTACCGTTTGTAAGGACTCTTGTAAAAAAGTTATAATCAGGAGCTCTTAAAAGAAAGGCTTTGTAGGGTTAAGGTAGGGTTTAGGGATCTGAGGCTTTCGTTTTGAGGGTATAAGATATAAAAAGAGTCACTTCAGGGGCTGCTCTTTTCTGGTATTCCGTCGATTCACGGTTTCGGGCATTAGTTACTTTCGAGAGGCCCATGACAGAATTTGCTTAGAGTGGGTTTCGGGTTTCGGGTTTCGGGTCGTTACATTATGGCATACTACCCTTGGTGTAGCTATCCGTTAAGGTGTCAGCGATTGGTTTTCTTGGAGGGTCTCATATGGGATGTGGCAGAGAATCAAGCGAACACTACACCCAAAATCCGAAGACCCCTAAACCCTAAACCCAAATCCCGAGACCCGGCCTATATCCGAAATCCCGTTCAAAAAACTCCACGGACCTAAAGATAGATAGTTGGGATGGCTCGTCTTCCTCCGAAAAAAAAAAACCAGTCAGAGCCCAAACGTTGCTGAAGAAAGGCCAGACCTGCCCGGGGTGTTGGGTTTGTAAGATTGGGGTCCAGAGGGATCCGGGCTGTAGGGTTTCGGATTTGCGTGTTTGGCATCAAGGGACTAAAGGCGGGACCCTTAGAGGGACCTTTGGGGGTCTGTAGGGGCTTTATGAGACTATACAAGGGGCATGTGAGGGGCATATGAGGGTTATGTAGGGTATTTGGGTTGGATTTGCCTGAACCCTCAACCCTAAACCCCTAAACCCCTAAACCCCTAAACCCCTAAACCCCTAAACCCTAAACCTTAACCCTCCTATTGTCCCTATAAGGGTAGCCTGAGGAGGCAGCCCCGAGCTCGGAGGAGGGCTCCGAGTCCCAGGCCCGCAGGCGTGCAGCTGGAGAAGCCATACAGAACCCAGAGAACCCAATATCCCTTAGGGTTTAGGGTTTAGGGGTTTAGGGTTTAGGGTTTAGGGTTTAGGGTTTAGGGTTTAGGGTTTAGGGTTTAGGGCCCAGAGAACCCAATATCTCTTAATTACCTAGAGGCTCCATATATACCATTATGGAATTAGGTCCCTGAAACCTCAATAAGGATGGTCTTCTCGGACCTAATCCATAATGGTACTATATGTGGAGCCTCTGGGTTAGGGAATATACCTTAAATTATAGGGGCCTTTATATTATGATTTAAGGTATATTCCTTAATTAAGGTGTATTGGGTTCTCTGGGAAGTTCCATGGGCTTCGCGCGAAGGCAGGAACCTTTGGCCGACGTCACCCTGGAGGCGGAGAACCGCCACCAATACAGGCAGCGAGTGTGGCAGTGGACTGTCACAAGCTTGTGACGTTGACGGCAAGCCTGAAAGTCTGCAAGGAGATTACTCGCTTCAGGTGACTTGCATCTGCAGTTGGGGTGTGGGAGCTGAGGGTTGAGGTTCAGGCTTGTTTGGCGGGATTAGTGGTTTAGTTTCGGGGTTTTGGGCTTCTGGGTTTAAGGTCAAGTTTAGAAAAACATGTAGGTGTTTTGTAGCTCAAAGTCAAATCTCGAAACCGGCTACCATCCCGCCTCCTCCTATTCAGGAAGAACCCCCCAAACAACAGTGAAAGATAAGCCCCTAAGAGCCAGGCAAAGAAGGAAGCCGAGCGAAAGGAGCGAGAAGAGGCGAAGAAGAAAGCCGAGGCAAAACACAACCAGGGTTCTTAGGCTTAAATGATTACCAATATTCTTTGTCATAGTTGGGTAGCATTTTAATTACATTTTTAAGCGTACTTAAACCCAATAAGGAATATACATTTAAATTTTTAATACTACCCCAACCATGAACTAGTATTAGTGATTGAGACGTGGTCTTCGTTCATGTTTGCGACGCGCCATTATTGGCTCGACAGTCGGATCAGGATATTCAAACTATACAGGAGCCCAAGACCTCATTCAATTTATAAAGGCCCCTACATTACACTCAACCCTAAACCCTAAACCCTAAACCCTAAACCCTAAGCCCTAAACCCTAAACCCTAAACCCTAACCCAAGGGTCCTGGTGAGTGGCATGGGGCCTAGGAAGCTCAGATTTTAGGGCTTTGCCGCAGGGTATAAAGTTGGAAACCCAATAGCGTCAATCCTTAAGAGTAATGTATAGGGAATCGCAGCACTGATTGTCCTTAAGCATGTGTCCAACCTTTTTGGGTTTACTTCATTCTTGCATTCAAAATCCTAAACCCTAAACCCTGAACCCTTTTAAGCTCTGCTGCATGTTGTAAGGCATGGGAGTAGGATCTCTCCCGAAGGGCCCAGTTGCTCATATGGTGTAGACTTTAGGGTTGAGGGTTAAGGGTTTAGGGTTTAGTAGATAATTTAGGGCCAAAGTCTACACTATATAGGTACATGGATTCGTGGGGTTCACCATTGTTTCTTGTTCAGATGTTCAGGGAGGGTGGTTGTAAATCAAGGGTCAACATGAGCGTTCGAGGGACGAAGGGGTGTTGGGGGTGTCCGTGTGTGCTGGGGAGGCTGGGTTTTGGGGCTGGGGCGATTTAGGGTTTAGGGGTTTAGGGTTTAGAGCTTAGGGTTTGGAATTTAGGGTTGGGGGCTTAGGGTTTAGAGTTTGGGGTTTAGGGTTTACGTGTTTTGTTGGGTGGGGCTGCCTTCATTTTTGCTCAAACCCGAAGCTAGCAGTATAAACCCTAAACCTTAAACCCAAAACTAGACACTGATCCTAAACCCTGCACCCCAAAGCTAGACCCTAAATCCTAAACTTTAAACCCCTAAACTAGACTCTAAAGCCTAAACCCTTACACCCCTAAGCTAGACCCTTAACCCTAATCCTTAAACCCCTAAGCTAGACCCTAAATCCTAAAACTTAAACCCCTAAACTAGACCCTGAATCCTAAAACTTAAACCCCTAAACTAGACCCTAAATCCTAAACCTTAAACCCCTAAACTAGACCCTAAATCCTAAACCTTAAAGAGTATACCCCCTAAACCTTAAAGAGTATACCCCCTAGCTGTGTGGCTATGGCAAGCACTGAACCCCTAAGGCCCTCGAGTCTCAGACTTCCGTGAACTTCGCAGTATATGGGTTTAGGGTTTAGGGTTTAGGGTTTAGAGTTTAGGGTTTAGGGTTTTCTCCAATGAGTCTCCCCCTCTTAGAGTTCCTTCAAGGGATCTCTAAGGGTTTCTATAGAGGTTCCTTACAAGGATCTATAA